AATCATTATCTCATTTTACATGAGATAACTCTCTCATGTTGTTTCACATTAAAAATTGTGCCACCATTTTTCTTTTTTTCTTTTTTTTTATTAAATGGTGGGTCCACCACATTATATATCTCTACTTGTTCATAGGGTTGTTCAAAATGTCCAAAAGAACCAAACCGATTCATAACCAAACCGCTCTACATCTTAAAAACTGGTTATTTTTAAAAATCGGTTTCATATGAAACTACATTTTATTTTATAAACTGGTTATTTACCAAACCATAAAAATAATTGATTATCTATGGTTATCCATAACCAAACTACTCTACAATTAAAGAACAAGTAAGTGTTATCTTTTATTATGCCTATTATCTTAGTCAATTGACTCAAACTTTCAAACAATAAACTAGAAAAAAAAATTAAGCAGCTCAAGTAAATAAATAATTTTGTCCGATGAAAATTATCTGATAAAACTTCTGTTAAAATTTTTTACAAAAAAATTTTTGTCAAATTTTTTTACGAAAATATTTATCATAAATTTTTTTGACAGAAATTCGTTCTATTGAAAATTATGATAGAAATGTTTTTTGTTGAAAATTTTGCTGGAAATAATTTCTGTCGAAAATTTTCGATGAAAATGTGTTTTGTCTCTATTTTCGACGTCATGTGATTTTCATCAAAAATTTCGTCACTATGTTCAACGAAATATTTTTCGTCGATAAATATTGTCAGTATTTGTGACTTTTCTAATAATGTCACATTTAAAAATAATTCATATTTATGTAGTTTTCACATTTTAATGCTAAGGTTAGATAAGTAATTTTTAATATTTCCCCCCTTAAACCCCCAAATTGAGGGAACTTTAATTTTAAGGGTGGGAAGAGTTTTGGAGGATTTTGCAAAAATTCACAATTTCCTTCCTCCATTTTTTTAAACTCGCAAACAAGGGAAACAAGGGAAGGGATTAATAAAACCCTCCCCTTCCCTTCCTTCCCCTCTAAAAATCAACTCCCAAACAAAGTCTTATTAACATAAATCTTGAGAGAACGAAGAGCAATTTTTTTTTTATAATTTTAAAATTGAGAGAACGAAGAGCAATTTTTTTTTATAATTTTAAAATAATTCAACTGTTCTTCTATCAATCACTCTCAAAACAACGTTAAACAATTTCTATAAGAATCATTTCATCCGAAGAATTCCAAAACAATGAAGATTCTTGCAAGAAATAGTTGGTCAACTACTTATAAAAATAACATAATCCATCAATAACCAATTTTGAATTTGTTAAAAAACTAGTTTTGAACTTGATAACCGGTTTTGATTTAAAACCGGTTTTAAATCAAAACTGGTTATGAACCACAAACCAATTTTGAAACCGGTTTTAAACCGGTTTGAACAAATTAAAAACCAATGTTTTTTTAAAAGAGTGGTTCGGTTTAAAATTCAAACTGTTTAAAATTAATTTGGTTCAGTTTTTGACAATAACTAAACCAAACCGCTCCATACACATCCCTATTTGTTCCGCATGTGGAGACAGATTCGCTATTTTATAAAAATGAGTAAAAATATAATAACAGCAGCTGTTGTCACACGATAGTAGTAGTACTTACACCGCACAAATCTCGCATCTTATTATTTTTTTACTCTCATATATTTTTTATAATTACTTCATCATTTTTCTTTTTTATAAATAATAGGCATTCTTCACGTAGTTAATTATATTCGAATTGAGAATATTTATATCATAATTGAACTAGCTCTTTCAAAAAAAAAAAATTTGTATTCACAAAGACTTAAACTCAAGATATTCCTTAAATAAAATCAAATATATACCACTTTAACCAACCTCTTTAATTAATTAGTTCATCATTAATTGTTTGCTACTTAATTCGTTATTGAATTGCAAAGTTAATTATGAAATTAAGAACTAATCGATTCTAGAATACACAACATACAAATTAATAGAGAAGGGAAAAAAATTAGGAACGTTAAATATGATTACCTAATAGTCTTGATTTTAAATTCCGCCCAATCATTAACAATCATGCAAAATAATATAATTGAAAATTTGAAATTATTTTTATAAATAAATTATAAAAATTTATCTAATACGTTCTTCTTATCAATTACGAGTTGAAATTTGTTCATACGTTAATCGATTTTTCATAATTTTTGTTTAAGTGAAAAATATGCTAACTAATATGGAAATGAATTCTCTAATGTGTCAAAAAAACATGATATGGTCATGTGGGAAGATCACAATCATACAAAGGTAAATCAACGGTTATGATTTTGTAACTACCTATTTTATCATTTTTTTTTCTCTCCTCTTTTTTTACCATTGATCCACCTTTGTATGGTTATAATTTCTTACATTACATGATCATGTGAATTTTTACATTAGAAGATTCAGATCCAACTAATATTGACATATTTTTCCGTGAACGAATATTCCTCTTTATAGCTAATATTAACATAATTTTTGCATGAATAAATATTGTTAAAAATCAATCCCTTAATTTCTCAGTCAATGCAGCAATATTAGTGATGAATTAAGTAATGTTATTTAGATGCCACACGACAACACTTAGTAAAAGATGGTTATTGACTTAGTGCTATTAAAGTATCGATCTTTCATCCCAACTGTAATTAACCACATAAAATTCTTAAGAAAAAAAAAAGGTTAACCACATGGCTTTCACCAAATGTTACCATAAGCACTTGAACGATTTTTTATTTAATTTTAATGTAATAAACACTGTTTGCTTTTTAATATGTCACATAAATAAATATTACTCAATATGGTGTTGCCACGTGATATAGAAAAAATATTTTTTAGTAACACAATGTATTTGGCTTCTCCAAATTTGTTAAGTTTAACATTTATTCTAATTTAGCAATTAATTTGTAAAATTAGGTTGATTTAGTCAAAAAGTCTGGTGTGGGGGTGTATTTGACTAAGACGTAGTAGTAGCTAGGGGGACCTTTCTCCAGCTTCCGATTAGCTGTGCCACCATATCCCACGCCTTGTATATAATTTTTTAAGAAAAATTTAGCCCCAAAATAGGCTTCTCAAAATCTAAAATTTACATTATTATTATTTATTTATTTATTATACAAAATTTACATTATTTTTAGATCACTCCACTAGTTACAAAGACATTGTCTGTTTAGGAATGGTCCCTGCTGAGACAGGCCTTAACAAGTTAGGGGGAGGAAATTTAAATATCGGAGCTTAAATTTTTGTTCTTTTTATATAACCGATGTCAATTGTTATTTAAAATAATATTTTCCAAATTTGGTATACTATTATGTCAATTGTTATTTAAAAAATATTATTTAATAATATTTCCCTAATTCAACCGACTGTATCTCTAATTTTTTTATTTATTTTTATATAATTCGGAGGTATTTCCATTTAACTTTCTTTGATCATCTTGTCTTGAAACAGGGTTTGAACCTCTGACTCAAACAAACTCTTCGGAGCTCAGTTGTCATCTGAGCTACTATTGACAGTTCTGTATCTCTAATTTTATTACTTCTTATGGTGTCCAATTCAATTTCGATTAAGTTGTTAAATTGGTATATTAGATCAATTAAATCATAATTCAAAAGTGTTAGCAACTGTAGTAATACACACGAAGACTTAATTAATTAATTTTTTGTAATGAGACACGATGTACAATTCTACAATAATAGTTTTCCTGTATTTTGTTTTGAATAATCGAGCATGCCGGCCCTTAAACTGAGGCTTTGGAATGAAGTAAGCAAGAGCAAATGTAAAGTATAACATAACATCAAAATTGTAGCAACAAAGTTCCCTTTCATAAATTATTAAAAACGAATTGAATTGTTTTTTTCCTTTTTATTACACTCCTCTTGTATTTTTTTTCGGAAAGATTCTAGCCATTTGAATAAGGAAAAAGTATTTGTTATTTTAAATGACATAATTTATATTTTTTCCTTTACCCACATCTTTTTTTTTTATCCCTTCTCTGTTTTTTTCTTTACCCACATTTTTATTTTTATTTTTGTCCCCTCTTTTTTTTTCTTATCTATCTCTTTCTCTCACTTAAAATGATACAACTTTACATTCTTCAAAATAATAAACACTTTTCTCTTTGAAAAAACATGTTTAACGTTTTCTGTTTATGATAACTTTCCATATTATTATAATAAAACACTGCTACTTGGACACAACTCTTTTCTTCAAGTAAATAGTTCTTTTTAGAGTTTTTGTTTTCATGCATCATTGACAGGAAAATTAAATGTGAAAATGTAAAAACATAACTATATAAAATAAATTATGCGTTTATTAGAATTTGATTATTTAATATTTTGATAGTTATAATTTCTTTTTTAAAAATAAAAAAACGATTACTTTACATTTAAGAAGAAAATCCAATTCAATTGACCTCATTCTTTTAATATTTCCGCTTTATTGTTGTCACTCAAACAGAGGTAAAGGAAAGGAGAAATGGTTACCGACAAAAAAAAAAAAAAAAAAAGGAAAGGAAAGGGGAAACGTAAGTGCATGATCCTTCCCTAACTATTTTAAATTTTTATGTAATTATATTTTATAATTTTATTTATGATTTCTATAAGACAAATTAAATTATTACATAACACTTTTAGTTATTAAAAAGTTTGTGCAAATAGATAATAGAGAATGAGTCAAAGTGTGTATCCGAAATCAATAGCCTTTATTTATAGTTTACCTCTATGACTTTGGCCTTAGATACCTCCAATTTTGTTGGCTGTTCTGATTTGTTTGTTGGGAAAGAAAACTTATCCCTTAATTGTGATTTGTTTGTTGGGTAGGGAACTATCCCTTAATCCTCTTATGCTTAGCTTGTTGAGATATGTTCCTTGATTCTCTACTAGAAGTGCTGAATCCAGTCCATAAAAGTTTCAAATACGAAATTAGTCGCTACCCTATTAGATAACAAATCGAGATTGCAGATACAAAATAGAGAATTAGGTTTTAGCATCACACAGCTCTTAAAACAAAGATTCATAGGTACTCTTATTATTGCATCATCAAAACACCACATTACAGAATCACAAGGATAAGACCACCAGCACACACCCATAATGGTTTCAGTTTCACACCAAACCAACAGAGCAAGCAAAATGAAAATAATAATAAAAAAAAAAAAACACAAATTAAAATACCAAAGCAATCACCACGCCGATAACTAACAGGGTCTCACATCTCTCTGGTATCGCGTGAAACCAAGCGAGCCACCGACTGCCACGTGTACAAGCCCTTTATTTATTACTAGTAACGGCAGCACGTGATTACGTCCTACTTTTTTGTTTTAATATATTTAAATTGCGAGAACCAGACCCGGCACGGATTTCCCGACCCGATTGGAGACGCTGCTTTCCCAGACGCAGGGGAAGCGGTTGGAGTCGGACGCTGCCGGAACAATCTCCTCGGAATCGGAATCGGAGTCGGCGATGCGAGTGACGGTGAGGGAAGTGTTGAAATACTCCCTGACCTGGGTAATTAACCCATCCGTAACGGTCCACGCGTGAATCCAGGAAATGGCGCGTGAAATGTCACAGCCTTCGACGATGACGGTGGGGCCGAAGGAGGCGAGTGACTGTGGAACGAATTTGAAGTTGTCGTTTCCGGCGGAGGAATCGCCGGTGAGCATGCGCATCAAAAATTGATGAGAAGGTGGACCATGGAACCACCACTCGAGGTCGGAGGCGACGATCTTGACGACGGTGTCGGAATCTCGAGAGTTTAGGGCGTCATACAGGGCGAGAACCAGCTTCTGGTTGCTGGAATCAGCTTCTTCCACACTTCCCTGAGAGTTAGCCAGTTCGAGAAAGATTTTCTATAGAAAATGAAAGAAAAGAAAAGAAAAATAAACGATTCAGAAATTTCGAGATAACCACACTGGTTTAAGAAAAGACACCAATGAGGGGGGATTTTATAGCAAGCATGCGTAACAGTGTTTTGATCTGCTGCACGCGGTGCTATTTCTGCGCTGAGTGATATGATGACGTGGCGCTTTTTTATTGGTGAGTTGTAAACCGCGGAACAACTTCGGAATAATACATTATATTTAACGGTGTTACACTTACATCAGCAGTGAAGAAAAAGTTGGATGGAACGAAAGAAACGGTCAAGCCAACTTTTTTGACCTTTACAAAGCGATGGAGTTTAGAGGCGTGGCGTGTGAGTGCGCGTGAAGGAATGCTTGCGACAATATCGTATTTGTTATTTTAAATGATATAAATTAAAACATTATTTTAAGAAAGAAATAGACATAAGAAACGGAAAGAAATAGAAATTATGGAGGGAAAGTGAGTGATTTTTTTTAATTCAAATTTTAAATAAAAAATTAATATTTTATGTCTATTTCTCTTTTAAAATGACATAATTTTATATCATTCAAAATGACAAATATTTTTTCCTAAAAGGAAAAAATGTGTATCATTTTAAAAAATGTAAAGTTGTGTCATTTCAAGTGAGAGAAAGAGATAGACAAAGGAAGAGAGAGAGTGGACAGAAAAATATAAAGGTGTGGGTCTCACCTCTTTGTGAGAGTGAAATGATATAAGTTGTGTCATTTAAAAGGATAAACATTTTTTCCAATATGATATTAGACTAATTATAAAATATTAATTATCTAAATATAAAGTGATAAGTTTAAGCGTGTATCGACAAATATACAGGTGTGTGTGTGATTCTGTTTTTTTTTTTTTTTTTTTAATACTTTCTTAGGCTAACTCATTTAGGTTAAGTTCCTTGGTCGGTGGAAATCCCTATATGAAAATAAGGTTCTATTTGCCTTAACGATAAAAATAAGGTTCTATTTGCCTTAACGATATGGTAAGGTAGATGCGTTAATTGCATAGAAAGTTAGACATTTCATGCGTTAATTGTATAGAAAGTTAGACATTTCAATTGCTCAAGCTTTGTATTTTTGTGATAACCTGTTGCGTCTTTTATGACGAGCATGATAAGATAAGTTTATAACTAGGACATTTTTGAATGAATTCTCATTCCTGATTTTGATTTGTAATCAATCACATTTAATTCCCACTCAGTTAGGATTTGATTTATAATTAATTAGGATTTCATTCTTAGTTATTTTGGATTTGATTTCAATGCTTTTAAATATTAATGATTATAATTTTTTTTATTTCTATAATTAACGATTGTAAATCTTAAATAAATAGAATAAGATTAAAAAAATTATTGATTATTGATCAGATCAAATACAGTATGGACTGACCTATATGTATCGAGCTCAATCTCACACGGTTGAATGATCTTACGTTGTTAGTGGCTTGGGCCTGGTATTTCTGTTGGAGCGTGCTTGAGCTTTTGTCCTTCTTGGTGGCGTGTTGCACCAAATGGGAGTACCTGCGAAGACACTCCGATGCTTAAGTTAGTATCAGAAGCAGATGTTTTTGTGTTCATTAAGTAAAGATGATCGTACCTTGGTAGTATATCGTTTGCTTATATAGTAGTTAAGATGCCGCCTTAGTTAAGGCGGCTTGACTTCTGAGTGGCCAGCCTTGGGCTGCAGGTCAGTCAGGGGACCTGAGTAGCCTCATCTTCCATAGTGCCTAGTAGTAGAGTTGTGGCAAGCTGGAGCTGTCCGTTGTTTACTGGAGTTAAGGCGCGGTGGAGTTGCCTTGGGCCTTAAGTTTACTTCCTATAGAAGGTTTCACACGCGAAGTAGGTATCGCGTCTTATGTGTCGCGATGAGGGCATCACGTCTGTGTTTGTTCTTTGCGCTTTGCTTCTGGTCTTCAATGGGCCTGGGCTTCCTTATATGTTTTTGGGCCCTGGTTGGGCCTGTATTTTATCCGGATCAATTATAAAATTAGAAACACGTGTCAAAATCATCATATGTGAAAATGAGCAAGTGTTGGCTAAGAAGATGTGATTAGGAACAATCGGTATAGGGACTTCACATACGCACACCAAATTTATATAGTATCTTCTAAATCCAATATGCATAGGAAAATAGACCGGATATAGACCTCACAACCTTATGTATGAGTATGTATATATAATTCCTCCAGTGCACTCTAATGCGGTGAAGGAGCCCACATAACTACAAAATCACCTTACAACACTTTCGCGTGATTATGCGGGGGTTAGACGGGATGTGTGTCAAGATATAAAACAATATTTGAACAGGCACACTAAGATTGCTCACAATATACTAAGAAAAATGGCCAAGCTGCACATCAAGCCTCCAAGTCTCGACAATAATTGCATCCCGACAATAACTAGGAATCGGGGCATGGCAGCCTCCGTCATATTCAACTGCATCTGGCTGCACATCAAAGTCGAACCCGTGGAGCTACTTTCACACATGGGCAATCATGATAATATCAACTCAGCATAAGTAGGATGCCAGCTCGCCCTATGAATATTGAAGGTTATGGTAGAACGCTCTCACCATAAATTCGAAATATGGGCACTCCATCTCTGCAAGCAACAAGACAGCAACAAGACATGTGTCTGTTCCAGCAATATCACAATGTTGAAACCCTCAAATTGGAAGAACGATGAATCCAGTAACTTCGGCTTAGATATCTCTCAACAAATGAAGTCCTTCACAGAGCAAGCACGGGACACTATTTCATTCTTAAATAAATAACCGAATAGCATATTTGGAGACTCCTCCACAATTGGCCAAGAGGATGAAAACTCCTCCACAACATTAAGAAATTATTAAAAATAATTGTTTGAGATGCCCTTCGCTGATATATATATATATATATATATATATATATATATATATATATATATATATATATGAGGCAGGGTATTTGACACCAGTATCAAATTTGAAATTTAACACCTCATCTGATAGCCGTTAGATCAAAAAAGATCATCGACTCTGATTTGTAAGCATGTGACACCATTGATCTTTTTTGATCTAACGGCTATCAGATGAAGTGTCAAATTTGTGTCAAAGGATCCTGCCTCTATATATATATATATATATATATATATATATATATATATATATAATAATTTTTTATTACGTGACTGAAAATTATTATGTGACTTTTTCTGTTTTGTTAAAAAATTATTTTTCATTTTCTTTAGTAAATTACAGCTCTGATTTGTTAAAAAAAGATATATATATTTTATTTAATCTCGGCTATATAAAATAGATTCAAATCATTACATTAACAAAACAAATATGTTAGCAAAATTTCCATTATTATGTGGTAGCATTTGGATTATAGGTAAAAAAAAAATAAAGAATAAGAAAGAGAATTTTGCTTCCTTCATAATATATATTTTTAAATAGTAGTGGATTCTAGTCGGTAGGGGCAGTCAGTTGAATCCAAAAGAATACTTGTAACTACTAACTTGTAAGTGCTTTCCGACAAGCGAAAAGAAAAGAGCTTTTTGTTTTGCACGTCTCCTTTGTGATGGTGTGAAAGTAAATTACATTCTAACCACTTTTAACGAAAGAGCGCTTAATATTAATTCTGATTTATTTATATAAGACTAAATAATTAAGATTATTTTTTTTATTTTTTATACGAAATAAATATAGATTCAATTAAAGCAAATAATTAAGTTCAAAACGAGCCTTTGTGGTTAATTCACATGAAACTATATGTGGATAGCTACTCATAATAAAACTACTAATATTAACATATAAAGGAGTTAATAGTTAGGAGTGTGGTTAGATTCAATTTTTTATACTTAATTACACCAAATCAAGATGTATTTTGAAAAAAATATAGTGCAATTTAATTTGGTTCGCATTTTGAGTTCGATTCATTTGATTTTATCACATACTTAAAAGTGGATATAGTTTTGTTCAGTTTGGTTTGAACTAAGAACCAAACCGAATTAATAAAGTGATTTGATTCTTTGAACTTTTGAAAAAAATTGTTAGGTTCTTTAACCGATTTAATAAATGTGGTTCGTTTGGTGCGGTTTTGGATCGATTCACAATTAAGTTTGTGATTCATTTGATTTTTGTGCACACCCTGCGAGGGACAAGCCTGAGTGAGCACAAAATTATTAGTTTAAACTCTATTCACACCAATTAATTAGGAACGTGCAATTAAAAAAAATATTATTTATGCGCAAACTGACCTTTTTTTGAAGTGATGAACTAGTTGAAGTAAATTACAAAAAAAATATTTTCTAGCTGGTGCTAGCTAGCTATAGATATCTCTATTTAGAGCTGAGGCACTGAAACAGCATCCATTGTGTACACTATACTACTTTATCAGTTTGCGTATTGTGTCGGGTTGTGATGATGGATGTTAATGGACCAAATAAGCACTACCCCAGAGGGAACTCTCCACTCTCCAATACCCCAAAAATAAAGCTGTTCACTTAGTGAATAGCTGCTCAATGCGTCATAGCATACTCGACAGACACAAGTGCATCAATATCTCTTTCTATTTCGGGGTCAATGTCACTGTGTCTTTATCTCTCTCGTCTTATGTTACACTTTAAAGTTGTGATAAAGACATAAAGTTTAGCATCAATATCTGAAATTCCGATTCCTAATATAAAAAATGGCCGCAAGAATATCGTTTTGTGGGGCTTTTTTTTTTTTTTTTTTTTTTTTTTTATTATACTTTAGGTTTGGGAATAGAGTGGGCTATATTGTTTGCTGAGTCAGGGTATAAACTGTGGGTGTGGGGGCACGGTTTATGGAACTTCTATGATGCTAATATTGAGCAACAATGAATGATATTTTTCTTCTTAAGAAAATTGGATTGTGCTATAAGCCGCTTAATAGTTTGTGCTGTTTGAGTCTCTATTTCTTTATGTATCTATTTTCTTTAATAAAAATTATAAATATCTCCAAAAAGCTTTTGTAAATCTAAAGGAGTGAAATCAAATGGCGATAACTCAGTTGATAATAACAGAGATAAATAAGTAGAAAAAAAAGAGTTTTGATTTGATTTTCACATATAATATTTGAAAAAATTTAAATGTCTTCATCTTTGAACTATCCTGCACTTTAAATTAATTTTATTGTCGATTCAAAGAGTACGAGACAGTCAAGTCATTTAAAAAAAATATCTAAAGAAGTGAAGGACACAAATGACAAAAAAAAATTATGGTGATGCTGATGCAAGCACACCAACACAGAGATACATAAGAAAAGAAAAAGAGGGGGGGTGGGGGGTTAGGGGTTAGATGCCTATATATTTTTCCCTAGTCTATCCAATGTTGCCCATCTTTCAAGAATTGGGCGGTACCTAACTAAAAAGCCATTGACACATTGGTTTGAGGTGACATTCGAAGGGCATAGGAAGAAATACTATATTTTAATCGTTAGAGCATGCTGCATGCAGATACTACATGCAAGAGAAAGGCATGTTTTTCTTGTGTTCTCGTCTGGGTGCTGTTTGTTTCGGGCTTTATAAAAAGTTGTCCATGCAAATGAAAGTGGATATCATGGAAAGCTTTGTTTGGTTGGTGATTCTTAAAATTTGCCCACCTATTCCACTTGTCTAGCAAAGTATGTTTGGTCAAAGAAATCCATCCTTTTTCATTGTTACTAAAGACATCTTCAACGTGATTTTTTGTTAGTTAGCTGGGTAAATGAGAAAGGTGAATCATGACCCAGACCAAAATACTCCTGTGAAGAGCAAAGTTGATAATGCCTTTCCCTGTTGCAAGCTCCACCAGCAATAGCGCCGTCACTCCAAGAATCGCAATGCGCCCGTTCAACCGCTCACTGTATTTTTTTGTGATTCCATACACACAATTTTTTTATTTTCCCAATTTTTTTTAAAAATAAGGATATTTTCGTAATTGTCACTTATTTCTCCATCTGTATTTTACCTCAAACCAAACATAGACTTCATAAATCTTACTTAATTTGCTCGGTAAATTTTTTTCCAACCAAACAACTTTTTTTATATTTTCCTATCAAACTCACTTTTCATCCATTTCCCTATCAATTACATTTTCCTAATATTCAAAAAATTTCTCCTCAAGCAAATGCCCCCCTAGAGAAATATTACTCGAGAGTTTTTCTCTTATCTATTCATAAATCAAGAATAGGGTCTATTTTTTATTTTTTTCTCTTCTCTCTTCTTTAAGTTATGAGTATACGAGAAAAAAATTCTCTCATATCAAATGAGAGTAATATTTCCTATTCATGTATTGTATTCAACTTAAGTAGGTAATATTGTAATAAGAGAATGTGGCATTGTGTCAATGGGCGGTTGGGGCATGTCATCTACTCTAGAATACAAAAATACAAAGGTATGATTGTTTGAATCCTGTTTCTAAAAATAATTTATTGATTTTAAGAAAAATAAAATAAAAAAACTTGCTTTATAAGATTTGTTTTGTAAAAATAGTTTAAAAAATTGTAACTATTTCTTGAATGTAATTAATAGCAAACTATTTTGTTTTAGTTTTTTATTATCTATTAATCTATTTTAACTTTCATAACAAGATCAAATAAGTTAGAAACGTATAACAGTAATAAAAAAGATTAAAAGTAAAAAATATAAAATAAAAATAATTTAAATAGAAAAAATAGACTGAAGACAAAACAGAAATACAAAATAAAGACCAAATATGTTCTTTTGTTGGAACTTTGGCCTTTATGTTACCAAAAAAAAGATCAAATATGTTGGAAATTTATAATACTGAATTATTTTCCTTTTATTTTTTTTTTCTTATATTTTCTTCAATTTCTTTTAAGAAAAAAAATATAAGAAAAAAATTAATACCAAACATATCTAAATAAAAAATAAAAAAATAGATAGAGGACAAAAAAGAAAATAATAGAAGAAAAAATATTAGTGATTTCTTTTTCTTATATTTTTTTTTATTTTTTTTTTGTCTTCAATGTATTTTCTTCTTTTTAAATTAGACTATTTTTCTTTGCTTTTTTTTTCTTTTTTGTCACTGTTGTAAATTTTTAATATTTGATTTTATCTTTTTCTATTTTTTCTTTGATCTAAAATTTTTCTATTTGATTCTCATATGTTTTTTCTTCTATTTTTATTTTATTTTTATTTTCAGTCTTTTCTATCACTGTTAAAAGAAATGGTATAAAAAATAAGACAAAAAAATAAAATCAGTGTTGTAAAATTTTAACATATTTAGTTTTTTCTTCTTCTTCTTTTTATTTAGACATATGATTTTTTTTTTTTGGTTTTAGTATATTTTTTATTTAGACTATTATTATTTCTACTTTTAGTCTTTTCTGTTATTATATAAATTTTTAACATATTTGATCTCATTTATTCTTTTTTTTTTTGTCTTCTCAGTCTATTTTCTTCTTTTTGATTTAGACATATTTTTCCTTCTATTTTCATTTTTTTATTTTTAGTCTTTTTTATAAGTGTTGTGAATTTCTAAAATATTTGATTTTATTTCTTAATTTTTTTTCTAAGAAGGGTAAAATAGATAAATTAATTTATTTTTTAACGGTGTTAAGAATGTATTTAGATAGAAAAAAACATAAGGGATAAATGGTTAAAAATATATATATATACATAAGAGTGTAAGTAATTCATAACAAAAGCATAGGAGAGTCTTTGAATATTTTTTTTCCATTTCTTTTTAATGTCAACCGGATAAACTATATGAACAAAACAAATTTATTAACTGTAGATAACTTTTTTATATGATAAAGACATAAAGTAATGCAAATCTTGCACTAAGACCAATAGTCCAATATATGAAAAATAAATAAATTACTTTTTGTTAAGCACAACCCACACCTCGATAACTAAGCTTTCTTACCTAACCTCAAATTTTACCTCCCTTGCATAATGAGAATAGATGATTAAACCTTGGGCTATCAACATTTACATGATTCTGCAGGCTTTGCATAAGGAACACGCGTTAAGAATGTAGAACTCTCTACAATTATTTCATATATGTCGTTTTACATGTATTTCATATGACTTTGTTGAAAAGAAAATATACATATATAGAGGAACAAAGCTATATTTACAAATTTTTTGTTTACAAACTACACTATGTCTGACCGGTCATACTTCAATCAAGAGTATATAACCGGTCAAACTTAGTATAATTTGTAAAAAAAATTTGTAAACGGATCCTTCATCTATTCGGAGAGAGCAAACTTTCTTAAGAAAGAAACAAAAGATCAGGTGCTCATACAAACATCCTACTCAATTAAATAGATAAAGTGATAGACAATCAACAACTAAAATCTGCATCTTAAGAGAAATGATTGACATTGATGAGTATGAGAGACTTAGAGAGCAAAATCATGATTTCAGACACGCTGAATGCACTAAAAATTTAATGGATGATCTTAACTAGTGTCATGAGTAGCTAGAAGAAAACAATCCTCTACCCCTTTTCCTTTAAGGGACTAAGAGGCTTCTCTTTGTATTAACGATGGAGTCGGTGGGTTCATTATTCCATCTTTACCTCTTTCAAAATGCTCATCTTTTACAATAGATGGCTGTTTATCTGGACTGTAATATCCCTTTAAGACATTGCTTGAACCTAGAGGAGAAGGTGTTTTAATCATAGAAGGGGAAGAATTGTTACCCAGAGGAGAACTTGTGCCAGATTTGGTTGATACTACATCTTCCTGAGCCAAAGGTGAACTTGATGGTTGGTCACCAGAATCAATTTCTTTCCTGGAGAATTTATCTTCAACAAGATCATAGTTATTCCCAGTTCGTGCTTCTTGAGCAAGAGAGCACCAGAAACAGCATAGCCAAAGTGTGCAATCAGAAACAGAAGTTTTGCCAAAACAGAAGTCATAGGCAGGTAAATTGAACCTCTTTCTCATTTGGATCCTCCAAAAGCCACCGTAAAGTAAACCAAAGAAACAAAGAATAATCCCAACAGCTACTAGAGCCTGTCTAACATTGTCATCATCAACATTAACGGAAGCCAATATAAAAATCCAGAAAGGAGCCATACAAAACAGCATAAAAGTGGCAATATGAACATACATGTTTCCAAAGCCAAGTCTCTCCATATTCCACCCAAAGACACAAAAAGTGCAGAAAAGTGAGAGATATGCTAAAGAAATATCATTCCAAATGTCAAGTATTCCTCCACTCCACTTTGGTCTATTTTCTATAATCCTTTGTTGATTTTTGGATGCAAATGAATATTTCCTCTCAAATGGTTTCTCTGTCAGCTGCTCTTGCCTTTGAGAAGCAGTAATTTGAACCTGTGCTTCTTCATCCATCTCACAATCATAGTCCTTCCCAAGCGGGCTAAGAATGGTATACAGGCCAGCAATTGCAGGCGCGGTAATCGCAACAGATATACATATTCCAACTCCAATGGCAGGTCGCTCAGATCTTTTATACCCCAAGTTTAGACCACAAAGTGCATATTGAGCAAAACAGTTCACATGAAGGAGAATGATCACAACCATCATATGTGCCCACTCATGGGGCTTATAAGTGCCATTCTTGCAGTATACCTTTCTAAGTTTAGAGATGTCATTTGGTCTCCATCTGCACAGAAGAACAAGGTGGTAGAACCTCTGTGGATGTTGATACAAGCACATAAGTGTAAACAGTGCATTGAGTATTTGGTTGTTTATTTCAAACCATGTATTCCTCTCGGATTTTCTTGGTAGCACATTGTTCAACATACCTGTCATTACAAAAAACAGAATTGCACCCGAAACAGCAACACATGTAATCCACACAAAAAGGGCCATGTTCATTGGGTTTCTAATCCATTCAATGCACATCTTCTTGACTGAACCCCAGTCAAGTTTCTGAGCAAACAAGCTATGGAAGCGTGCTTTTAGGCTATTTGAACGTGAAGAAGGCACAGATTGTGAAATATGGTCTCTCTCAGAAGCAAGCCGCTTGAATTTGGCAGATGCAGAACCATATTTAAGGAATTTTATCCTATTAGGAAGAGAACTTAAGGAATCTGGGAGCTTTCTCTGAGGATTTTCACTGCTCAGAACTGTTTTCCGAGAAGTTGAAATATCTATAGAAGCAAACTCCTTTACCTTACTCTCATTAGATTCCTCAATTTCATCTTTGGGATTCCCAATCCCATTATCTACCGAAACCATTCTGATATAAAGCTCTGAGCTTTCTCAATCAAAAAATCAGAACCATATCGTCAATGGTATAGGTATCGAACAATTACTGCGAAGACATAACAGAATAATCTTCTGTGCTAAGATTTCAAATCTGTAACAAATTTCATATGAATCCATAAGCAACGAGGAAAGTATCCAAGCAAATAAAAAATCAAGACAGAGAAATGATTACTTGAGATATGTGACGATGACCCAGTAAATAGATTATTATAAACTTATTGTTGAATCAAAATTAACAATTTTAAAAACTAGAAACTATTAGCTACATGAAAAAATGAAAAACCCAAAATATATTTCTAATAATACCAAAAAATTAATCTGAAAAATAAAAGTTACAGACACACAAACACCCAAAATAAAATTGAGCCCGTAAGAAAAGAAATCCCAGAATAATAACATTAAATTTTCAATGCACAAGCTGGTGGGAAAAGAAAAAAAGATGCAAGGGTTCATGTAAAGTGAGGTATAGACATACCTAATTAGCTGTGACTCAACATGAGGGAAGGCGATTGAATGCAAGTGATTCCCTCAGAGATATTAGACAAAATTCACAAACAAGAAATGGAATCTAAAGTGTAAGTACTAATACAAAGGTAAAAACAAAAGAACCACGTGCAAACAGTGGGGAGAACAAGAATGGCTCCTCGTACTCGTAGGCGTAGCAGATAACAACATTGTCAAACATTGTTCAGCGTCCAAATATGACTGCTGGTTACTGGTTGCCACCTGCCAGGAAAAAAGAAAAAGCGGGTAAGGAAGGAATGAAAATATTGAAAAAGTAATTTTGTGGGTGGAAAGAAATTTTCTCTTTCAGCAATAAATTCACTTTATCAAGCATTGCTTCTCTTTTATTTCCAAGCAGTCTGGTGTCACGCCTTCCTCGCGTAATAATCATTGATTTTTGTTAATTTATTGGAAATTATTAAATAATTCTTAATTCTTAATAAATTATAATCCTTAAATTAATAAAAATTAATGATAATTAAATTAGTTATAAGAATAAATTTTTATGGTGATAAATATATTATACCCTTAGGGGCTGTTTGGTAGCCGACTTATTTTGAGATGCCCGGGCAAGCTAGCTTTGACATAAATTAAACCCGCGTTTGGTAAGCAAAAAAGCGAAGGTTTCCAGAGTACAAAGAAATGCCGTGAATTTGTATTGTGTGTTATGTACAGTGCCAAATCCAATTGTTAAAGTCCATAGAAAACGTGGAAGTGTTTCAGTCCCGGGCAAATAGCATTTGAGGCGCGAAACTATTGACTAAAATAACCCTTATTTTGGGTTTGCCTTGTATTTGAGTTGCTTTAGCCGCTTCGCTTGTCCGACGACGAAGAGGGGCCAATGACTCTCTCAAACGCTTCCTCAGGGAAACCACACATTCGATGCCAAAGCAGAGATGTCGACCAGCCTTTTCCTTTGGTATCTCACAGCAAACCCTTTTCGTTTTCAAAACCACAATATAATATTTCAAATAAAACATAAATCTGAGGTTATTTTCGTAAAATACTCACACTTTCCCATTAATATTTCATAACTAACCAAACACACATTCAGTAAAATTAACCATAAAATCCAGGGAAATTTTTATCATACCAAACACCTTTTAATAATATTCCAGAACATATATATTCCCCAGTTATAATTGTTTCCCAGATAAATAAAAATTTCTCCTCTACCAAACGCCCCCTTAGTTTATTACGATTCACTAAATCATGCTTCTATTCAGTGAATAATACAAAAAAAATAAAAAAATAAAAATCGGTAAATTAGTTAAGTGATGAGTAATATTTTAGAGTAAATACCATTTTTAGTCCCTAACAAAAAACACGGTCCCCACTTTAGTCTTTTATAAAAAAAAAATTAGTCAGTTGGTCCCTAACAAATTCAAAGTGGATCCATTTAGTTGAAATCGTGGTCCCTCACAATTATAAAAAAGACCCATATTAGTCCCTCAAAAGGACTAAAATGGGTCTACTTTGAATTTATTAGGGACAGCTGACTAATTTTTTTTTGTAAGAAACTAAAGTGGGGATCGTGTTTTCTGTTAGGGACCCAAAAGGTATTTACTCAATATTTTATTAAAAAGGTACGATGTTATGATAAATTGTTAGAAAAAATAACTGCGATTGTTTAGTTGTGATTAAAAAGCTATAAGACGAGTAGATAATTGACCCAAATATAAAAAATAGCAGCATTGGAAATGCATTTTCAAGTTTTTTTGTTGGAATCTTTACTTTAGAAAAAGAAATTGAAAAAGGAAACCCCACGATGAATTGTCGGCAAATGGAAAAAGAAAAAGAAGAAAGTGATAAACATCCAACTTGAGTGGGGGTATTATCACCGGTCAATTGAGTTATCATTTCTTTTTTTAGCGGTGATGAAAGGAAGGTATCAATTGCGAACCCTGCTTTCGCTTGCACAACTCTCGTCATTTAAAATTTTGGGCTTTTCTAGATCAGGGTAAAATCATGCCATCAGCCTTTGAAACTATATAAATCTATTTTGTGATGGTTAGTTTTTTTTAATTATGAAAAAAATATTTGTCATTTTAAAGGACAAAATTTGTATCATTTTAAATAACACAAAATAAAATTACTATATTTTAATAATTTTTTATCATCTCTCTCCTCCACAACATTCTCGTTTTCCCTGTCTTGCTCAGTTAAAATGATACAAACTCATTTTTTAAAATGACAAACTTATATTCTAACAGGTCTGCAGAAACGACGTGTATAACATGAAATGATAATGTTTTCATTCATGATTGGATAAGATCAGACTCCAGCAACTTCATTAAAAACTCTTGTATAGAATTCGGTCAAACCAATTCAATAGAAACCAAAGCACGTACACTCTCTAAGTAGGTGTGTAAGATGGAACAACAGGATAGACAAGCATAGTACAAAACAAATCATCAAACATTAAGTCCAACCATAAGAATACTAAGGTGCAACTCAAGTAAGATCATCCTCCTCAAGTTCTTTGGCTTTCAGCTTTTCCTTCACCCTCAAAAGAAGTGTTGTCTTCCAAGAATCCTGCACAAGCAAACGGGCAATCTTGATGAGCCACTGACACTTAGAGCTACTTATGGAATGCAAAAGAAAAAAATAATCAGTAACAAGGTCAGACGTTGAAGTCAATAACATTTCTAAACTCATCCAGACCAGTTAAGTATGCCTGGGCACAGAAGGACAATTACAATATCCAGTATTTCAGAAGCAGCAATAATACAGGAAAAGAACAAGGTACAGAAGCGAAGAAAACACAACCTCGTGTTCAACGAGCATAAACGTTCAAGAACTCATAAAACACAGGAAGAATAACAAAGCTGTCTATCATAAAATTCAATGCATGTGTAACACGAGAGAAACAAATTATAATTTTTCCTTGATTTTCTTTTTTAACATTTAAAAGAACCAACAGGGAACTGAAACCACTAGCTGAAATAACTGGCCCACTAAGCATCTCACAATTTTTAGAATTTGATGAAATGAAGAGAGTAAGCTCAGAACAAGTTCAGAAGCACTGTGCTGTAACCCATCTCTTTCAACTGTGAAGTTGAACAGTTTAAAATGACGAAAAACAATAAATGTTTCTAAGCATAGGCATGCTGAGATGGGTCAAATCAAATCTTACCAATTTTGGCGATATCTTTTTACTCATTATTTTAACATTCCAAACCAGACTGTTCGAATTCAAATACATAATACATACCAAATGAGCGACAGAACATAAAAAAATTCACTGTAGGTAATCAAATAGGAGAATTTAATTTCGGGGGAAAATTCCAATCCAGTGTAAGTTAATGAAAATATTTCCATTTAATTGTTGTAAAATGGGGAATTCAGTTATGAAAAATTATGTTTATTCTTTCATAAAATGTAAAAACTACATTGGAAATAATTTTGTTAAATACCAATTATAAGTCTTCCCATTTCACAACTTTTGGAGCTTACCAGAGGGGTCATGCTATCAAATTCCTTGACAACATCAGTAAACTTCACAACATCTTCTTCATCAATTGCAGCAGCAATATCCTACCCACCAAAAACAAAAGTCAGTATTTCATCTTGCAAATATATGAATAAAGAATCAGTGAATAAAATAATCACTATGTTATATAAATACCAAATTTTATAAAACATTATGATAGAGGAGGCACGTACTACAATGTCCACATATCCTGATCCAATTTACTTGGTCATCAAAAATTAATAATGAAATTCCAGAACTAGTGACCTACCACCAATAATCTATATTCGCGTGTTCCTGAAAATGTTGGATCTAATTCCTGCAAAACAAATACATATCCAAAGAATTAACAACTAGTAAGATGCCCAATCTCAAGATGTGAAATGTTGAAACATCTTAGACCTGATATCTCTCTAATGCATTGTTTATAGCAATAGCATCCCCTTTACAGAGTTGGCAAATGCCAGCATTAAGAAGATGTCCTTTAACTCCATACTTCAGCAAATTATTGTTGAGAGATTGGCGAGCTATCTCTTCATAAATCTCAATCGACTTCTGATATCTGAAGAATTATGATGAAATAGAAGCAGTTAATATTCAATTCAACATAACAAGAAGTCTACAATAAAGCTCCTTCCATTTAAAAAATAAAGCCTGGATTTCTTTAGCAGTTCCTGCTCTAACTAGAGCACATCATACACATTAATATATGACTGAGACCAAATGCTGCAACGGACTGACTTTTATTAACATCATTAACAAGTCAACATAATATGGATTGCGGAAAGAAACATGCTACACTTCTGTTAATATTATAGATCATAATGATAAATTGTGAAAAGTCAAACAACCCACAGTGACCTGAGAAAATGTTAACCTGGGCCGGAGAGCAGGGGGGAGAAAAGGTACTGAACAAAAAGAAGGCCAAAAAGAAAATTCCACGAATAAATTACTAACCAAATAAAGAAGAAATCCATGCTGAAGAAATATTATTCAAGCCATCACAATAATAACAGAGATAAAATACGCAGAACATAGAAAATCTTACTGTTCCAGCTGAGCAGCAAATTGGGCAACTTTTTGTTTGCACTGGTTTGCAGAAGTTGTAACTTCTTCATTTTGAAAAAAATCAGCTGATTTTTCAAAGTAAACAACAGCCTGCTCAATATTCTGTTCAGACTCATACAACTCAGCAATTTCCTGTGTGTATAATAGTAAAACCCAGTTATGACATGTTCGCGGTGATTCTGGTAATCTCTTTACTGCAATGGATTCAATTACACATATCCAGAAGCTGGAAATGGGTAAAAGAATACCTCAAAAAGGATACCCAAGAGAAGGGATGCCATTCATAACCAAATATGCATTCCAAGCCATAAACTTAAATGATCATACTGAAAAGTAAATCTAAAGATACAGTGATATACCTTCAAATATCTAGCAGCCATAGAGAGTCTTCCAATATCACAGAAAAGATTTACAGCATGGTCTAAGCAAGATACAGCCTCTGTATTCAAAGCGAGCAAAAGGAACTGAACATTAAAGATGTTATCGTCTTCATACTAATGCAAGTGATGACATGCTAACACATGCTAGACTGCTTTATAATTTATTCCAGCTTTAGTACGTAATTATGAAATCCAATCTAATGATAATCAGAAAATAACACATCAAAATATGATATATGGACAGCCATAAAAGAGAACAATCAGATGGGACTCAAATGTAAGCAACTTACACCTGCAGAAATTAATATGTGAAGCGAAGTATTTATACATTTGGAAAATTGAAAAGCTTAAACAATGAGATTATGAGATAACATTAGAATTTCTTATATCATTTGACCATGCACAAAGGCTGCAATTGTTTTATTTGATTTGCATTAAAAAGATACAGAAAAATATTATGGCTAAAAGCAATTGGCCTTGCTGCATGCAGTCAAGAGCAGTATTTAAAGTAGAAATCATAAATGAGAAAGAATATATCGCTATCACACACCAAAAGAAAAAGGGAAGAAAGAAAAGAATGAAAAAATTGCAAATTCACAGCATCTGTCAAGTGCACAGCGGATGATGAATGCAAATAATATTAATTATTTTTTAGGTTTAAGGTAAATATTGGTCCCTATAGTTTTTATTCATTTGGGTTTTGGTCCCTGTAGTTTCATACCATTAGAGCCCATCACGAACAAATACCTTAATTACTTAAACTACAGGGACCAATCCTTTATGAAAAATAGTGACCATTTACTTTTGATTAATAGAAACTATAGGGAACCAAAAACCAAAAACCAAATGAATGAAAAATATAAGGACTGATATTCAACGGTAGGGACCAAAAACCAAAAAAATGAAAATAGGGACTAAAAACCCAAAAAAATACTATAGCGACCAAAACTCAAATTAATGGAAACTATAGGAACTAAAATATATTTTAAACCTTATTTTTATTTCACAGTAAAGTTTCTTTTGCATAGGATTTCACCACAGTAGCAGGTTTAACATAAAGGGACTGCATTAGCAACCAGAAAAGAATTCTAGTACATGTAACGGTAACCACTTACATACATACCGTTTATATTAGTCTTTTTGTAGCAATGAGCAGCGTCAACATAAGCCTGCGCAGCTTCATGCTTGCTTTCCAACTAGAAACCAAAGACAAGAATGTCATTGCAGGCTTAAAAGAGAGAACAAAGGATGCAAAAGAGATACAGCAGGATAGACCACATTCCAAAAATGCAATCCTGTTTGTTACCTTCAAATGACAATTTGCCAACTTAAGGTATGTCGATCCAGCTTTGTCCCCTGAAAGACCAAATAGATAAAATCAAGAACAATATAAAGAACTATTCCATCCTCGATTTCAAAGTTAGTCACATTTAACAAAAATAAAGTGAAAAGTAATCAAAGTGAAGATGAGCAACTACAACACAGAGAGCATGGTTAATCAGTTCGCAGATAGTCTTGATTGTCACTAATGATAATTACCAAACAGTATCCACTTCTTTCATTAATGAAAATCTCATCCCTAAACCTAAAACGATAATTACAAAATTCCATAACTCTAATTTCTATGCAACTAATTGATTAATAAAAATCAGGTTAAAATATTTTTCCATTAAAGTCAGATTAAAATTATACTTCAATTAATTTGGGGGAAAACTAACTAAACAGCAGCTATATATTTCGAATCGGAAATCAGCCATCTAAAATCAACACTCGCTGATGATAAAAAAAACAGTAATAATAAAATGAACGAAAGTGGAAAACACTAATAATTTACGTTAATTGACATTTTCTTGAGACACGAAATTGAAATTAAAAGAAAATAGAAAAAAAAGGAGAGAAAATACATGATTTAGCGAGCTTGAAGGAATTAGCAGCTTTATCAAAGAGATCGGAAGCGTCTTCGTATTTGGAACCGAACAAGCCCCAGCCGGTGAGCTTCTTCTCAGCTTTCTTCTCGAAATCTTCGGCCTTCGCTAACTGATCGGCCATTTCTCTCAGATTGGAATGGATCAATGAAGTGTTGAAGTTGCAAGGAGAAGAATAAGATTAATATTCATAGATATTACAGATAGACTTTGTTGACAACCAAGTCCAAAAACCTGCAAATCAGAAAAAAGAAGCAACGTAAAGGGTTTCAGAGACAAATGTCAATTTTGGAAGAAATTTTTTTTCCCTCACGCGGTCTGTTTTGGGCTAGTTCCGGTTTTTCTTTGTTTTGTATTTGGGGATGAACCGAAACCCTCCATTTCAATTTGGGCTTCAACTTCTTGGGCTCAATTGGGTTATTATTTATATTTCAGCCCGAAAACAAAGGGGATTATTGAACCAAACCAGGCTCAGTTTTTCTTTTGTATTTTTCAAGCTAAATTACTCATTTGGAACATATAAGGACCAAAAAAAATAAAATAAAAGATTTTATATTTGGAGCACATTAAAGGTGAATTGAATTATTTTTTTGTTATTAATTTATTCTATTCCACTTACTTAGAATTTGTCAAATGATTTAACTAACAAAAGTAAAAATATTAGTTTCTCAACAGTAAACTCAAATAGAGTAAAAACGTTTTATGGGGATTGCTTTGCTGTGGTCTTATTTTTTTTACATTTTCTTCCTCTTACACGTAGAAAAGAAATTAATCTTATACTCACGTTCAAGATATATTTTTTGGTGGACTTGGAGCATGGTGATCCCTTCCCAAAATAAAAAAAAGGAAGGATTGAGAGAAAAAGAGAGAGATAAAAATAGAATAATTTTTTTATTTATAAAAAAAGCATAACTGAATAAACAGTGGGTCTGGAATATAATAAATTTTTCCAGCATTTATAACAAAGAGATTTCATGGCCATGAACATAAAAAAAAAGTGTTTATCATTTTAAATAACATAAAATTATGTTATTTTAAAAGAGAGATTGACACAAAATAATATTTTTTATTTAAAATTTAAATTAAAAAGAACCACTCACTTTCTCTTCAATGATTTTTATTTATTGTATCTATCTCTCTCCTAAAATGATATAACTTATATCCTTTAAAAGGATAAAAGTCGAACCTTAAAAATAATAAAGAATCATATTTTACTCATAATAATTTTGTGCGTTGAATCCTTGTGGATCAATTTACTTGAAAAAGACTAATTCAAATTTTTTATGGAAGGGCCAACGTAAATTGACTTTTCTTCAGATTAGACTAACAAATTCTGACGAATTTATTATCCTACAAGGTATTTTTATTTTATTTGTAGTTATCCTACAAGGTATTTGATTTTACTTACAAGGTTCTCAGGTATCATCATCTGTTTGACATGTCAAATCTTATATCTAGAAAGCGCGATTCTTTCGCTTCAATTGACTATTAAGTAAAAAGGAGTAGCGGTAAAAGCAGTAGTGTTACTTACGTAATTATCTTAATCTAATTAATGTACATTTAGCAGTTGCATTTAAGAATTGATAAAAATTGCATGTATAAAAAAAGAAAAAATTGCTAACCACGTGAGAGCTTCACTAATGTTTTTCTAAATCAATGAATTTAAGATACAAATTGCGTGGGGTTGTTAGAAGATTTGTTTTGGATTGTTTTTGGACGTGGAATTAAGCATAGAATCTTTAGATTCAAATACAGAATTCAATCTAATCAATTTCATGCGCATAACTTCAAAGAAGCCACTAGGGAGCTCAATTATGGTAGGTAGTTCAAATCAAACATAATAATTATATCTGGGCTGGCCTTTGTTTATAGCATGTATAAATATGGTTTTTTCACATATAAAATTAAAAAAGAGTAAAGTAAATTAAATAACAATTTTAATGATGAAAACGTGCTTTGCTCCAGCCAATTTAGTGGCAGTTTCACATCATCACCTATTAGGCCATTTGCCCGTCCACATTCATTTAGTATTTAAAAAACATATAAATGATAACTACAAAAATATAACCTAGATATATTTATGCATTATTAGACATTTAAATAGAATATTTAAATCATAATCATAAATATTATTAATTATGTAACACACCGTTTGGATGGGCTTTTTTCTCTCCAAAAGCTGTTTTTTTCTTAAAAAAGCACTTATCATATTTAATTCGTTTGGATGTCTGCTTTAAAAAAAAGCAGAACTCACAAAAAAAGTCAAAAATTTATTTTTTACAGAAACTAAAAATTTTAACTTCTAAAAAAAGTAGAAGTCAAAAATTATTATTTTTTTTAAATTAAATATTTTTATAAAAATATAAATAGATTTAACTTTTATAAAAAATAATTATAATACGAGGAAGAGATAAAAATTACAACCAATACATTAATACAAGCAGCTCCCCAACCCAAACTTCCCTCTTCTTGTCTTTGACTCAAAATGCCTTTATATAATCGAAAAAAAGTGCATTTTGGTAATTCAGTAACTTCAATTATTGTATCCAAAAAAAAAAAAAAAACTATAAATAGAGAGTAACGTCTAATTATGCAAGACAGCTTATATCAATTCTAGACACCACCACCTCTCCTTTTCCAGTCTCCACAATTTCACCGCCGGGATGTCTCCGGCCGCCGGAGTGAACGTCCCGCTCTTGCCGGATTCCAAATCAGCGGCGAAGCCGGCTTCTGTCTCCGGCGCCGTGTTCAATGTCGCCACCAGCATAATTGGCGCCGGCATCATGTCGATCCCGGCGATTATGAAGGTTCTTGGTGTGATTCCCGGTTTCGCCATGATTCTGATCGTTGCTCTGCTGGCTGAAGTTTCGGTGGATTTCCTCATGCGGTTTACAAATTCCGGCGAAACGACGACGTACGCCGGCGTCATGAAGGAGGCTTTGGGTCCACCGGGAGCATTAGCCGCGCAAGTTTGTGTCATAATCACCAACGTTGGGGGTTTAATTCTCTACCTAATCATCATCGGTCAGAATCAATTTTTTTTTTTTTTTTTTTTTTTTTTTTTACTCTTTACAACCGCTAGTAAAATATTTAAAAAGAAAGAACAAATTTGTAGAATTTTTAATTGTTGGTTACTTACGCCTATTATGAAATTTTCAATTTGGTTTTTTAGCCAAAACCCAGTTTGAGTGGTGAAATTTTTGCATAGAAAAGCTTGGTTCTTTTCTTAAATTTTCATTCTTTTGGTATCAAAAGAAAGTTAATGGGTTATTTTCTTAATGTTTGGATGTTACTTGATGTTAATGGAACATCAGGGGATGTGTTATCTGGAAAGCAAAATGAAGGTGAAGTTCACTTGGGCATTTTGCAACAATGGTTTGGAACTCAATGGTGGAATTCCCGGGAATTTGCTTTGCTTTTCACCTTGGTCTTAGTTATGCTTCCATTGGTCTTGTACCGACGTGTAGGTTAGTTTTAACTATTGAATACTTTGTTATAACAATGTTTTCTAGCATTTCAAATTGGAAGAGATTCAATGACATATCATGACTAGTGTTCTTTTTGGTTTTATGCTGTTTTGAAATTGGCAGAGTCCTTGAAGTACAGTTCTGCAGTATCAACTCTTCTTGCAGTGGTATTTGTTGGCGTATGTTGTTGGTTGGCTATTGTTGCTCTGGTGCAAGGAAAAACACAAACTCCAAGATTGTTTCCTCAGTTAGACCACCAAACCTCCTTCTTTGATTTGTTCACTGCAGTTCCCGTTGTAGTCACGGCCTTCACATTTCATTTTAATGGTACTTAAAAGTTTGCATTAGTGAGTAGTGCCTTTGCTCTTTTTTTCAGGGCATAACTAGAAAATTTGTGTGCTGATTATTGGTTTTATTTGCAGTGCATCCGATTGGGTTTGAGCTTGCCAAGCCATCTGACATGACAACAGCTGTTCGATTAGCATTAATGCTTTGTGCTGTTATCTACTCTACAATAGGTCTATTTGGGTACCTGTTGTTTGGAGATTCAACCCAGTCAGACATTCTCATCAATTTTGATCAGAATGCTGATTCTGCAATTGGTTCCTTGCTCAACAATTTAGTACGTGTAAGCTATGCACTCCACATCATGTTGGTATTCCCTGTCGTGAACTTCTCTTTGAGAGCCAACATAGATGAAGTCCTCTTCCCCAAGAAACCCCTGCTAGCCACAGACAACAAAAGATTTGTGATCCTCACTCTGGTGCTTCTAGTCTTCTGTTACCTTGCTGCTATAGCAATCCCAGATATTTGGTACTTCTTTCAGTTTCTGGGATCAACTTCTGCAGTGTGCCTTGCCTTCATTTTCCCTGGCACTATTGTTTTAAGGTAATCTATCTCCCATAAGCTTATATTCTTATTAACTTCATATCAAATATGACAAATTGAAAAGGAAAATAAATGAATAAACCGGGCTGGTTATTTTCTTTGTTTCCAATGACAGGGATGCTCATGGTATATCAACAAGAAGGGACAAAATTATAGCACTGGTTATGATTATACTAGCTGTAGTGGCAAGTGTGATAGCCATTTCCACCAACCTGTACAATGCTTTTAGTAGCAAGTCATAAAAGTTGGTACTCTCTTTACTTCCCTTTTATTGATAGTTTTATTAGAGGGGAAGGTAGGGCTGGTGGTGGAGGGACGTATTTGGTAGATGTGGCCTTGTGGGTCTTGTGTTGTTTTGGTGTTTTGGATGCCTTGTTATTTGTTGTAGAATTCATATATCTTCAACAGAATTTCTGTGTAAAATATCAAATATCAAAGCAATGAAATCCAAATGTTCAGTTGAAGGGTAAGTTTGGGTCACCATATCTTACAAGGTTGTGCCGTGCAAGGATCACAATATTAGTCACTTGTGTGTGAACCTCTTTATTGTTTGAATGGCGTATGAAATAGAATAGCATTTGGCACTTAATATATCTTTTTATAAATTATGTCCCTTTCATTAGGGCCTTACTCCCATGTCATACTCATGAAGACTGGGAGTAGGGGTGCTAAACAAATCAGGGGCCTTTGGCTCGGCTCGTGAATGTCTGATTTTACATGTCTAAAATTGGTTGTTGGCAGCAGATTTGAACTTGTATAAAAGCTCGTTTAATAAAAAGGCCTCAGGCTCCAATTCAAAAGCTCGGTCTTGGAGCCTCTCTGGCTGGCCTAATATATTATTTTTTATTTTTATTTTTTATTTTTTATACTACTTGTAATAGCTTTCTTTCTCCTCAATCCATTTCACCTCATTTTATTGGTTAAACAGATTTTTTGAATGATTTTGTTCTATATTATGTTGTTTGGATATACATTAAATTTATGAATATTTATGAAATTACTAGTGTTGTTGATTGTATATTCTGTTTGGATAAATTTTTGTTATCTTATTTCTTTTAAACAGACTAACAGGCTAAACCAGGCTTTTATTTTTTTGTAAATAAGTCAAGCCACATGCCAATAAGTATATTTATAACAGGTAACATACTTGGTCAAGCTGACACATTTAAACAGAGACTTAGCCTTTTAAGACTAAAGCTCGGCTCGGCTCGACCCGTTAACACCACTAACTCGGAGGTTGTGCAAAACTGCAAATACTCTTACCAGGATAATGTTAGGGCTTATATATATATATAAATGTAAATAATAAAAAAATATATATATATATATATATATATATATATATATATATATATATTATTTACATTTTAATTGTCATTCTATATATATATATATAATGACATTTATGTCCAAAAAAACCGTGTATTATATTATATAGAATGTAGATAATGATGTGCGTCGGTGTTGTGAACGTGGAAACCGTGTATTATATTATATAGAATGCAGATGATAATGTGCGTTGGTGTTGTGAACGTGGATATGGTCGCATTATCTGAAAACACCTAGATAGTGACGGAAAGATATGATATTGGTATTGGTATGTTGTTGTTTTTTTTTTTTAATTTAATAGATACTAATAGGTATCCTCACACAATCTTTTCTGACCACATTATTTTTAAAGTACAACTGAGAAGAGGCATATTTCCCCTTGCTCTAAAGGGATCCAAGGATTTGCATTACTCAATGATCGAACCCTGGGCGCATTGGAATGTTGTTATAATTGCTATTTTCTAAGAGCGTTCGCAGTATGGGCAATTTCATCTAATCCCTTTGATTTGATTATTTAATCATCTAGTTGGTTTTAATTTTTTTTTAAAATTCAATCCAATCCAATTTTATTCAATTTTGATTAGATTGGTTTTCGACTTCTAAAAAAACCTAAAATTTCAGTCAAACAAAATTATAAATCACTACCAATATCAAAATAAAATTATTCAAAATTATAAACCACTGAAAAATTCAAGTCTTTCATACTAAAATAAATCTTAAAATTCATGATGAGTTAAAATAAATTAATAGATAATAAAAAACTAAAACAAGATTGCACTTGATCCATATCTCCTAGGAATAAATATTTAGTGATACTGTTGCACCAAAGATTCAGTACATCCTACTAATAGAAATATTACACGTAAGTTAAAGTTTTCTTTTCTCTTTCAAATTTTTCTCTCCCCTATAATGTGTAATGCTCCCATTAGTGGGATGTACTGAATCTTGGTGCAATAGTAGCAGTTATTCATCTCCTATGTAGTCTGGGACAGTGTCACATCACATGCTATCGCATGGGCAATTCTATTACAAGTCGAGTCAACTCTCTGCATAGGCCCTATCCTCGTGGATAGGCCCTATGGGATTAATTGCACTGGATTTACAGGAATCAGAACCTTCACATAAGACCTTATTGTTAATGGGCTGCATGGCCTAATTTCCTATGTTAGCAGGTTTCAAACCCTCGAGACATATTTCAATAATAAGTGATTTTGAGAGAATACGAAGTTAAAAAGGATAAAATGCGTGTACATATTATTTTCTAATTACTTCTTTCTTGTTCGTCTCCAACAACCGATGGCGGTGGAAGATTAGGAACACCAGTGTTGATATACTAATCTCCTTCGTGAAAGTTTTTGTCAAGTTGCTTCGCTTTTAAATCAAATTGTTTAGGATCACAAACCAGGTTATAATCGAGTACGGATCAATCAAATAAGAAAACCGTCCAACCCAATACAAACCCTTAAATATTAATTTGATTTTCTCAATGCTTTATTTAAAAAATAAATACGTGTACAACCTGATTACCTGAATGGACACGATCCGAATTTCCTCAAGTTGGTTAAAATTGGGTTTACAGTTTTTCTTTCTTTCTTTTCAAAGACTAATCCAACCCAAGCTAACTTTGTTTAATTGATTTAGACATGTTCTGTTGTGGTGTCAAGTCGATGACTGGTATATTGATCTTGGATTAAGGTGTTCTCTTGGATATCTATAGATGAGATACATTCGAGTTAACAAATCATTCTACACAACATAGCCAAAGGAGTGAAGCGTGCAAAATGACAACATAATAATAACAGAGAAAAAGATGTCGATACATTTAGATTTTATTTCTTTTTATAGAGTTTTACTTGTGGGTAGTGTAATTCTGGACCTTTGATGACTTTCTGAGGGCCCGTGTCCAAATTCATAGCTGTTGTATTAGGATTCGTGGCAATCAAGGATTCTTTCCTTTATTTCCTTTAGTTTTAGTTTCCTCTTTCCGTAGCCCTCTTTAGGGCCTTCTAGACTATACGCCTCTAATATGGGCCCATAACAAACCTAAATTTTCCCATAAATTAATCCAACCTTAAATTTTCCCAAGTTAACCCCTGGCAGAGCTTGTTGAAAACACATGAAGCATTAGGAAGGCAACCAAAGAACCACAACCTTCCTCCAGAGTCCAGACCACATACAAGACAAGTAAATGATTCCAGCAATGAGCAGCAAATTGCACATGCGAAATGAAAAAAACCAAAATAGTAGTTGAGCTATAATCTCCTATTAGATTTAGTCAAAAGATACACAGCAATTTCCAGTCTTCCTCACACTGGCCAGCTTACTGTCTCATATCCTGATTTTTATATGCTCCAAACCAACCCCCCAAAAACACAGGCAAGAACCTCAAGTAAAAGTCATGATGACACATCATACCTCTGATCCTGGAACCTTTTCATCAAGCTCAACTTGAATCTCTCGACATCTGCATCCTCAAGTGAATTTGGTGCAGACCTAATAATTGAAATGGCCCCAGCACGATGCAAGGATGCAAGAACTTCATCTATAACAATGAAGTATTATATCCCAATTAATAAAAACAGATAAGAGAACTACTAATTGCAGAACCGGGCTGCCCTATTTTACTAAATGGCTAACATTTCTGGTTCACTATTTAGGTAGGACCACAAAGCTACTATTGATCTCAATTATCTACCTCTCCACCAGCATGTTAATAAGCATATTTTTTATTAAAAAAAAAAAATTAGTCTACTTAGAATAAAAACTAGCAAGTAATATGCATAAAAGAACACTTAAATAGAATATATAAAATTAAGACTTTAAAGTGCCACCTGAGTGTGACAGTGCATCAAGAGCATTCAACGCTGTTTTCCGTGTGCGGTCATCTTTAGCCGTGCTTAACATATTTAAGAGCCCATCAACTCCACCCATCTCAAGTATCTTCATCCTTCTTTCATCTTTTGAGCAAAAGGAAGGTGAAATTTTTTGAATATAAACTTATGCAGGAATGGAAGATTTTAAAAAGTAATAAATCACCAAGTCCTATCCTTAGTCAGTTTCATGAGATAACTATCCACTGGTAATTGAAAAACTATAGATAGACAACAATAAAATGTTACGAGCATACAAAATGTAATTAGATACTCAATAAGTAGTTACCTAACATACAAACTAGCTAAACCATGTCAAGGAAACTTGCCGGTTACAGAATAGAACTCAATTTTGTATCATTACAATATATGTGCTTAGTCATGAAAGAATTATAACTGAGGAAAAGGTAACTCTTTTAGCTGTCAGATCCAAAAACAGCAGCTCAATTATAATCATAGTAACTATTTCATGATCAATTCAACAACAAGGTCTCATTCCATAAATCATTTATCTAAGTTCAAAATCTCCTATCAACTCTCCCCTTTAACCAGAATTTTGTCATCACACGAGCAAGCTGAGATCAATACAAAAATATCACTAATATAAAGCAGAAGGATAATGCAAATATGCTTGTTGCAAGAATAGGAATCTTTTCTGCAAAACAACTACGCTAATAACAAATGACTAATACCCCACAAGGTGCTTCAATATATATGTGTGCCAAAGAAATCAGGGTCATAAAATATTAATAGCAGGCGATTGGTGACAGAAAGACATAGATAACGCAAATTACCATCCATTGCAAAACGAGCCAATCTAGAAGCTCCCATCCTTTTAAACAAGGGATCTTTGACACGTAAAAGCGATACAGACTGCTGCATCAAATTCTCTCCTGAAAATTATTAAGTTAACAACACAGTCAGGCTTGAACCACCAAGTGAAAATGAAGGCTTTTCAAGTTGAAAATTGCTGCAGGACAACTGCTGATAGTTGGAAAATACCCATGTAAGGAAAGAACTGGTATCCTGCCACAATTGCGGTCCCAAAAAATAGTGTCTTTAATAGCCACCCAACTTTTCTCTCAGCTTCATCCTCAATGGATAGCTCATCTGGGAATCAAAAGAGCTACTACAAGTGAAGTTGAGTAACATAACTGCAGCTCACACAAAGAAACCAAAAATTGAAAATAAAAAAACCATTTTCTTTGTATTTTAAAATTCCACATTTTGACATAATTATTCAATCCCAGAAATTCCCCAAAATCAAAATCAAGTACCTATCATTTACTACTAGAACTACAAGTACAAAATTCCATTTTTTTTTTTTCACAATAGATTAGTCATATATAATTTCGGGACCTTCTCATACTCAACAATATGATTTCATAACCGAACCACTTGGTCATACATTCCTATAATTTTTTATTTTCAAGTAGGGATAGAAAAAAACACAAGGTCATACCTTTGACATTATTTGATGAAAAATTACGAGGTCGCAGATTGACCCCAGTTCTTCTTCTACATAAATACTGAAAAAACGAGGGGAAAAAAAAAAGAGTTATTAATAAAATAAATTAGTTAATGGGTACCCACTACCCAGAAAACAATTATCAAATTCAAACATGAAATGAATTTGTAAATGAATAATGAAGAAGATGGATTGTACAATTAGGGTTAAAATTGATCAGAAGCAAAAACAGAGGATTAGAGAGAACTTTACATTAGAGAATTGAGCTGCTAGGGCGCGCATTGTGCGAAACGTGCTGAAGCTCAGAAGTCACAACACTCGCTTGCTCAAGAACCGAATACCCATGAATATGATACACATCACAGGGTCCAGACCCGAGTGTGTAATTCGGTTCGGGTTGAGGGTGATGCTCGATTTGACCCGGGAGAGAGCTACGATTTTTTTTTTTTATAACAAGAGAGAGCTACGATTTACGACTTAGGAAGTCAGTATTGCTGGCCATGAGAAGAATGGGCCTTGAAGCCCAATTATGTGATTTTAGGCCATGAGCTTATCGGGCGCCGTAGAGTATTTTTCAAATTATGTTAATAACATAGGATAAGTTATTTTGTCTACTCTCAATTTGCCTACTCTTTTTATTACCATTCAATTACAATCTAATCCAACGGTTCATATTTACGAAATAAATAAATCATTTTTCACCCTTTCTTTCTCCTCAATTCTTCCCACATCCTTTCTCTCTCCTCTCTTTTCTCCCTTCCTTTTGTTGACGATCCTTTATTTTTATTTTTATCGTTTGATGGTTTATTCGTTTTATTGGTACGCTCTAATTTTTTTTATTTGTTTTGAGGGTTTATGATTACAATTTCCAGATTCATTGATATTTGATGGTAATCTAACTGATATGAAATCATATAATAACTTGATTGTCTGGGAATCAAATAAATATTTTTTATTGTTTATTTTTTCTCAGATGCAATATATTGGGATCCCAAAAGTCCTCTTTTTTAAAAAATATATATTTTATTTGTTATTATTAATTATCGTCAGTGATTCTGTATTCTACCTTTTGAATTTATGGTGTTATGTTGGTTATTTGTGAAACAGGAAGTGGAGTTGCTGGAATTGTGACCCTTGAAAAGGTTGTTCGAAGTGCATTAAACAAATCGGATTCAAAGATATACTTTGTGTTCATAAGTAGGGAAAGAAATTGATAAATTGAAATTGGGAATATATGTAATTAACTAAAAAAAAATCAAAAAACCTTATAAGGATCGTCAGATTAGTTTTGCAAAAAAACTTGATAAGTTCCACACAAAAAAAATGAAGCTACACTGTCCTGCGTTCACCCGGCGACATACATCAGCGATAAAGATGATGAAAAAATAGGTATAGCAGAAAGGAAGAAAGAAAGGAGAGGAGAGATAAAGGATGTGGGAGGAATTGAAGAGGAAAAAAAAGAGTTTATTTTATTTCGCAAATATGGACCGTTGGATTAGAATGTAAATAAACGGCAATGAAAGGAGTAGGCAAAGGTAGACAAAATGGGAGTAGGCAGAGTGTTGTAAGACCCGGCTCGACTCGGCCGGGTCGACCCGGGACCCGGCGACCCGGTCATCTGACCGGTTCGGGTCAAGTATTGGACCGCTTATGCATCGACCTGGTCAAAATCGGTGACCCAGTGACCCGGACGAGTCATGCATTTAAAAAAAAAACAAATAAACAAAATTGTTTCATCTTGTGAGAAAAAATGTAGAACTCATTTTAATTTTTTTTTGTAATTTTATTTGCTAGTATACTTTTCTACAATGACCTCCAATTTCAACTTTTAATACTGAAGCAATTTGCGAAATAATAAATTAAGAGGTTATAACATATGTCATTTTTTTGTAGTAAAAATGACATATGTCGCTTTTAATGTAGTTGAATTTGAAAAATATGAGTTCAATGTCATCGAGATGTATGTTTATAGGGATTCTAAGTTGCAATTTAAATTGAAATTGAAATAGTATACATTTTTATTTATTTATGCTTCATATTTTTGAGCTTATTTAATGAACCTTGTTTAATTCATTTTAGATATGGAAAATATAATTGAATTTACATGTTCATATTTATATATATATTTATATATCTATATATATCCGGGTCAACCGGTCCGACCAGTGACCCACCGGTCCGACCAGTGACCCAATGACCCAGTACTAACATTTAATGTGCTAATAGATGTAATCGTAACCCTATTGTCACCATTAATCACAATATCATATGATTTTGAGTTCAATTTTTGGGTATATAGTTATTTTAAAATTTTGATAGGAAATTTTTTGCTACTTTTATAGTCTTGCTTGCCCAATTCAAATTAAATTTATTGAGTAACTGATGAACTAATGCAGAAATAAAAAATACTAAATTTATTTCATGTTATTAGTTTCTACGCACTGTTAGGTTCTGTTATTAGTTATTGGGTGTACGACTCTACTAATTTTTCTCATATTCTCTCGCCCTATCATGATGAGAAAATTGACTTCAATTTACCAGAAAAAAAGGAAAAAAAATTGACTTCACGACTAGAGTTTTCTAGCTCTCACTTTTTTCTCTTGTAAGACTACCGCTCAGGCGCTCTCCACTGGTGGATCAACTTACGACTTGGAGTTCATCGTCCTGAGTTTCATACTTTCCGTTCCTTGAGTAGCCAAAACAAGCCGGTCTTTGTTTATTTATTATTATTTTTTCCCTAAGGTCTATTTAATTTACCTTCGCGTAATAATATGTATAAAATTGAGCAAGAAGGAATTTTATTTTTTATTTTTTGAGAAGCGAAAAGGTTGCTTTTCCCGAAATAGAATTCAGAAAACAACTTTTTTTGTGAAAGTGAAAAGAAAATCTATCGATCTATACATAGAGAATTTTAACCAATATTGTATAAATTGGAAATTTTTCTATAAGTGGTCAATATTAATTTATTTTTTTGTAAAATTAATCGGATTATTAAGTATTCAAATTTAATTAATATGACGAGTTCATGATGATTATAACGACAGAAGAAAAAAGGGACAGGGATAGGGCATAGTTGAGACAATTCTTCATAAACATTAATGGTGTAGAAAACCACAGAAGCTTAAACAGCCACTCATTGCCACAGTTAAAATATTAGGTTAACCCAATTTTTCACCAACGTTTCATATGATCAATGATTGCTGTGGTTCTCATATTGGACTACAGCCCGACACATTAGTGACCTGGCCTGCCTCGGCCTTTTTACTTGGCAGGTTTGGCTGGTGTAAAAGTTTGATTACATGACTGGGCTGGAGTGTTAATGTATTAAGCCTGGCCCATGAGCCTCCAGGCTGGCCCAATTGTTCACCTTCATAATTTTTTAGCACAGCCTACGGGAAGACTGAAGGAAGAGTGAAGACTTCAGAGAACTGAAAGAGGGACTCTTCTCTAATTGTTCGTGCAGCTCTCTCCCTCACATCGAATCTTGTGCACGTGCAGTTCTAGCCTCCAGGTGCGTTCTCCCCCTTCTCTCATAGCGTTATGGTTCCTCTTTGTTCTTTGTGCGTTTCACTGTGTGTGGGTCTTTGGATCTTTGTTCTTTGCTCATTTCACTGTGTGTGGGTCAATGGCTTAATTGTTTGTAGATCCAAACCTTCAACTCCATCACTTTTCTCCCTTTTTTGCATAATAAAAAACATAGATGAAAATCAAGTAATTACATGGTAGATTAGATTTTTTTCAGAAAAAATCTAACAAGAAAGAGAAATTGTGTTCTTTCTCTTGTGGGGGGTTCAGATTGCTAAGAGATAGATGAATCTAGTTCTGGTAATGGACATGTTACAAGGTACCAGGTTTGGACAAAAAAACCTTGAAAGCGTTGACCAGCGACGCCTCAATTTCCTAAGATGGATGGGTTTAGATTCTGATGCGAATTCAAGGATGGGAGAGGAGTTTTTGGCAGATCCATCTTGTGGAATTGACCGAATCACAGCAACCAGTGGGGCAGTGCTAAGAACTTCGATTGATGTAGAGGGTCTTCCCTCTACCTCTAACCAGATGGTGTTGGATTCGGTGTCAAATGAGGCTTCGAGCTCGCTAGAAAATTGCGGTGTTACGGAGAATTTAGCTTGTGTGATAAAGAAATGACCTGATGGAACACGGTATATTGTGGATAAACTTGGTGATGATGGAACTCTTAGTACACTGCGTGTTCTGGGTTCCAATCAATTGATTAACTTGGAAGAGTTTCAGAGAAATATTGGGCCATCACCGTTGGTTTGAGTTTAGACGAAATGAAAAAGCTTGCAGAATCAATTCAGTACCCATCTTGTCCAAACTCAATATATTATTTTATAAAAAGAAAGAGAAAGAATATACCCATCTTGCATAATCAATTAGCTTGTATTTATTTCATTCGTTTCTTTTGCATTATACTTGATCAATGCTTTGGTTAAGCAATTCATAAGATATAATAGTAAGAAAGACTAAAGCATTCTACGATTTGTGTCAATTTATATATAGCACAAAATTGAGTAAATGAAAATGGGTTGTAGAATGACATATCTATGTTAAATTAAGGTTATTTGTCATATGAAAAATCTCTTATGGCAACAGTACGTGTATGTAATGCAACTTTATTGTTTAACAAGATATTGTTTAACGTAATTTGTTGTGCTATTTTATGGATTTTTAATATATACATGCCAAGATTTGAATATAGAATTTTGATATAACATCAAATGCATTTTCATTTTCAAACGGATGGCTTCTAGTTCTAATCAAGATGGAAGCAATGATGTTGAAAATGAACCAGTCCCACAAGGTGAAGAATCTGAAGATCCAAGCTTGGTAAAAAAGAGGCGAAAAACTTCTGCAGTTTGGAATGGTTTCCATGAAGTGGACATCCTAATGTTGGGCGTAAAGCAGTTTGTAACTATTGCAAACAAAAATTTGCAACTGGTGGAGTTGGAGGTAGCACTAGTCATCTAAGGAGGCATTCACAAAGTTGATTGTCTAAGAAATTGGACCAATCAGGTAAGAAGCAGACCGCTTTAACATTCCAGCCTACAGGTTCTACTTTGAATCCTTTTCTTGCACCTGGAGGAATGTATACCAATGAAAAGATGAGAGATTTTATTGCTACTGCAATTATGACTCACGAGTATCCTTTCAGTATTGTGGAGGACGATGTATGGATGAGGGCCTTTAAGTTTGCGAATGTTGATTTTCAGAAAGTTTCGCGTATTACTGTAAGAAGAGATTGTATTGCATTATTTGAGGCAGAAAAGAAAAGTCTGAAGGCTTTATTGGGAGGTGTGAACAAGATCAGTATAACCACTGATATATAGAAGTCTAGTCACCAAATATATGAATATATGGTCATCACAGGCCATTTTATTG